TATATCTTCTGTCAAGCATATGCCATAATATACGTACTTATGTGTGTTACTTACCTACATTTTTCTTTTATACCGAAAATGCCTTTATACTTTATTTTTGACGTAATTTTTTACTTAGATATATAACAAAGATACGGAAACTGGTAAAGAGTGCATTATTATACTAAGCAAATGAATAATTATATGTTAGGCAACTATATTCTTGCATTTATTATCTGAGTATATTTTTTACACATAATAATATGTAGCTATTCGAATAGTTTCTAAATATTACATTATAGATATGCAATGCAAACAGTTGTAATGGATAGTAACATAAGTAAATTCTTACTTGTTCAATACATAATGTGTTTATTTTGGGATGAATGATTATTTAGGTTGAATCGAAACAAACTGGGGAAGTGAATCTCATAAACAAGCGTAAGAGCGATTATTAGAAACTACTTTTTGTTTCAAAACTAGTTGTACCTACACTTTTTATTTTCTCATTTCCAAGTTTGTAATCTTATACGGACTACATGAACATTAAGGAGACTATTTCAAGGATAAATGTATGTTTGTTAATCTTCGTCAGTAAATACTGCCATTAACCATTTGGGCTAACTAGAGCGACATAAAGCGCGAGATAAATAGCTGTCTCGCGTTTAATAACGCTATCGCGTAAGTCGCGCCGTATCATAGTAATCCTACAGGTTGTTTCTATTCACTCAAAAATTGCTAATGGCCTTCACCTCTGTATATCATAAATTATATATATGAAATTGATTCTACTAATATTTAATAATAATACTGATTAACTGAAATAGTTGAATTCGAAATTTGTACATTCTGTGAATTACATAACAATAACCACATTCAAGAGGCTTGTCTTAGGAATTTGAATATTTACTAATGTTTCTTAAATATTAACCATTTCATATTTGTGAGGAACAAACAGATAACATAATAGATTAGATATTAACGTAACTAACTTTTTCGTACTCTTGAATAAGCTACAGGATGTTATTCAGATAATTTACAGTGTTTTATAGCGATGTTATAATTATATAATGATATATAAAGTGTATATAAAACTATATACATAATAGAACACATATATTGTCGTACAACTTAATTTCATGTAAAATTAACATCCTTTCCAAATTGATGTCACTGATCCAAGTTTGTAAAAAAAAAGTGTTTTGAATTTTCAAAAGTTGTGGAACATTTGAAATTGTTCGCAACTTTTATTTACAGTTTAATCGTAAGCATAATTATGTAAAACTAAAATCAATTTATGAACATGTTCTCAAAATACACACATCAAAAGTGTCTAGGGATCAAGTGAATATTTTTGAAATAAAAATTATTTAAGCAATATTTACCAAATCCAGTCTTCCAGGACGACTTCTTACTTTAATGCTTAGGTTTTATTTAACCGCTTACCCCTATATTTAATTAAAATAAACTAAAATTGATGTTTTTGCAAATTGTGGGAAAAAACTCAACGGCGTCAATTAAATGACAAAAAAATGGCGAAAATGATGATTTTGCTCATTTTTATTGTAAAGATAAGAAAATTAATAATCCTATTTCCACCATTAACACGAATCACACAATTACAGCGATTTGGCATGCTTAAGATGAGTTCATCAAAATCACTTTGAGGAATGGCCGCCCATGTGTTTTGTAACAAGTCAAAATATTGTTGTAGAGTATGTACGGTATGCATACTCGGCACAGCTCTTCTTTGAAACATATCCCATGCGTGCTCAATTGGATTGAGGTCTGGCGATTGAGCAGGCCACGGCAGAACGTTAATACGAGCTTCGGCAAGAATGCGTGTTACGACTCTAGCCGTGTGTGGACGTGCGTTGTCATGCATTAGTTGAAATGAATCACCCAACTGGCCTCGCAAAGGGATGATAACATCTGAAACAATCCTCTCTGCGTAAACTTGAGCATTGAGGTTACCCCTGATCCAAATGAGATCGGTTCTTCCGCCGATCCAAATACCGGCCCATATCATTATTGTTCCCCCACCATATGGATGAACTTCCTGACAATACCTCAAACGTTCATGACGTCCAGATGTTCTCCAAACTCGAGTACGTCTTGTATCCGGTCTCATACCGAAGCGGGATTCATCCGAAAAGCACACATAGCGCCAGTCTTCTTCCTCCCAGTTTCTGTGTTCGCGAGCCCATCGTAAACGGGTCCTGCGATTGCAGGGTGCAATAGGTGGAACTCTGAGCGGCCTTCGGGATCGCAGACCCACTTCACGTAAACGATTTCGGATTGTTTGATCGCTTATTAGCAAGCCTGAGGAGCTGTGGAGCCTCGTAACCAACATCATGGCGGTCATGGTACGATTCCGTCGAGCAGTATTGTGGATATACCGGTCCTGTCTGCGAGTCGTGATGCGAGATCGTCCTCCATGTCGCTCGGCCACGCTGCCCGTCATGCGATAGCGCGTCCAGAGGCGACTTATGACGCTCTGTGTAGTGTTAAGAGTGAAAGCCACAGCACGTTGCCTGGAACCAGTTTCCAACATTCCGACGGCTCGCATCATCACTTCTCGGGTTAAATGATGTCGTCTCTCCATAATAATCTAAATTGTTTCGGTTCCGATGCAGATATTGTAATGATTTTGTCAAAACGCTATAATTCATTTTTATACAAAACCACATTGACAATCAATTTTCTTCTTATTATCGAATTTTAAACAATATTCCTTATTTAAATGTTAAAACTCACTAAAAAGTATCAATAGCGATACAAAAAAGTTAATATAATTGCAGCAATACTCTTAAACGTACTTGATCCCTAGACACTTTTGATGTGTGTAGTATGTACAATTTTTATTATTTATACAATTTTTATTAATGTTTGTCAGTTGATCTCTAGGTGCTAAAATATAAGTCTAAATACGCGTTTTTCAAATGTATACTAGATGGCTGGGAATCACCATGAGGTGAGCTTAAATAGCTCTGGCACTTTTCAAGTGAACATTGATGTGAATGGTAATTTTTGACATTAAATGTCGATATTATAAAGGCACTCGGCTTGTTTTATACTCTTGCTGCGAAAAGGCAAAAAAACCCTGACAATGATGCCAAAAGTCAAAACTAGTGCTACGGGTTTCAAAGTAACTTGTCAGCCAGAAAGTAACTTGAAAACAAGACTGAAATATCAAAACATTTCTGAAACCTGGGTAAACTTCACTGGGTTAGAAATTCTAACTCCACAATGAGTTTCGAAAATTGTAGACGTTATGGTGAAATGTCAATTTCAGACTGACTTTCAAGTTCATTGACTTACAAATAAATGGACGACGGGTCTAATACAAAAACCACGAAAAAAATGTCCCAAGTCAACCTATTCGAAATTTAAATTGTTATGTCATCGCAGTATCGCGCTGTCCGTAGAACAAATGAAGACTAAAGCGGAGTGTCGCGCTCTGTATACGATTTTAGCGCCTTACAAGTGCGGACACTTTTTAGCGCGGACCCGACGTCCATATAATTGTAAGTCAATGTTCAAGTTAGATGATTACTTTAGGTGGCTGGTTGACATATGTATACTCGAAAATAGGTTTAGCTTTTTTTTAATTTTGAAGATTTAAAGACTATAATATTAATAAGTACTATAACGCTACGCTTTTAATGATAAGCACAAACGTTTTGAAAAAATATTTGTATTTATCACCAGCTCTACACATGAGCAGCTTTGTTTTACCAATTTACAATAAATGAGATATTACATTTAATTGTAGCTTTTATTCACTGTTAGTAGTACCGCGCCTATTAGTAATGTTTTAATTCGTTATGTAGGATTATTTTTAAATGACCTAAATGTTTTTCTTCCTATGACTGAAACATACAACTTTTTAGTTTAGTTTATAAAATTCGGAATTTGGTTTTAAAAAGATTCGGGTAAATTTAAAAAACCCTGTATACGAGAAACCCTGATGAGATATGCATATACAAATAATACTTTTTGGTTTAAATTAAGTAACTATATACTGAATACAACTTAGGGTTGGCTTCCATTTGTTACCATGCATTCGCAGCACTTGTACCGCGCCATATGTCATGGTGCTAGTCATCACCTGCGCCGTATCACCGTACGTTTGAGCACATCTACGTTACGGCTCGATCACAGTATTAGTAAACAAACAGTATGGCTACTCTCTACCTACTTTTTACTGCGTACGCATGTATCCTTTATAAATCCATAGCTGTGTTATATTAATAATACAAAGAAGAAATGCTATGCAACAATATTGTCTAAAAGATACTCCATAGTACAAATATTTTAACCCCAATAGGAAGATGGCAGTTGGATAGGAAACGGCCTTCGCAGGTTCGGTCATTTAAAAACAATGTGAAGAAGACCTATCTGGGTCGACCCACTGGACGAAGACCAGTTGGCCGCCCCGTTGCATCGCATTGTTGGGGAGTCCTGTGTAGTCAACACAGGAACGAAAAAGTGCTTCAAAATTTTACCAATGCCTCTACCCATGGATTTTAACAGTGACGGTTGTTGTTAGTGGCCCTATTAAATACAATTTTGTACTGCAAATTCTGTGGAACTCAGTACAATATGCCAAACAAGGTTTCGGTCACAAAAAAAAATTACATTTTGTATAAAAAATGTCCGCTGCCTATTAACTGTCACTGTAACCTTATTGTATGTATATGTATGAAACACACATTTAACTCAAACACGTACTGACCAGTGGAGTGCAACCCTTAGGGTGCTTACCCACGGCCCGTAATATCAAACGCGCCGATTTGTACGGATGAGCTCGCGAAGTGGACGAGTCCGGGCGGCCTCGGCCCGACGCGCGTGGTGGTGCGTATTCAAGTATATCGAGAGCTAGGCCGAACGCGCTCTCGCACCGCGCTTTTTAAGTTACCGACCAGTGGCGGATTCGTACAGGCTGGCGCGCTTGGGTGGCCCTCTTTCCGCGACGCGTTTGCGCGAAACTCGCGCCGTCCAATCGGGCCACAGGCCGTGGGAAGCCGCCTTTAGTGTGCTCAAGCAAAAATATAATGAGGTAAAATGGAACAATGGGAAATTCAATATAATTGTGATGTTAAGGGGAAGGAAACTGAACTCGTTACTAATATAAGTTGGTAAAGTATTCATTTTTCCTTCTCGTTTAATCAGTACATAAACACAATATCCTGAGTAATGGAAAAATATAAGAAACTTGTAAATGTTAATAATGAGATGGAACTCGGAGACTTCGGAAGTGTTGAATCGGATAATGAACAACAAACAGAATCAGTAATTACTGAACAACCTACAACACAAGTGCCAATCAGTCAACACCCAGGTACTTCAACTGTACATTACGCAAGTAGACAAATATATTTATTTTATTTAATATTCAATATTTATTCATTTATTTCAGTAATTTCTTTGCCGCCGGGTTTGGAGTACCTAACAATGGTGGACCAGTTTCTAATAAATCAAAAAGTAGAAATGTTGGAAGTGCTCACTGGATTCGAAACAAACAATAAGTACAAAGTGTTGAACAGTAGAGGGCAAAAAGTTTACTTTGCGTGGGAGGAGAACAATTGGTGTAACAGAAACTTTTGTGGACCTGCACGCTCTTTCAATATGAAGATTTTAGATAATTATGGACGTGAGGTATTTCTATACCTAGTTTGAATTTCTTACAAATCACTGCAATAGTTTAATTAGGAATTTAGCAATGTTAGGTGTAAAGACAATTACAATAAAAATTGGCATACGTAGTTGCGGAGTAAATTAGAGCATATTAGACGCAAGAAGAGCTAAACGAAATAAGAACTTATATTATAAAATACCTTGGTTTTCCAAATATATTTTTATATATATATGTGAAAAGATATTTGGAAAACTAATACATAAATAAAAAAATATAAAATACATAAAGATATTGTAATATACGTTGTGAGTACCTACTAAGTAACTTTATATATAATTAACACTGCTTAAAATGACAAGTACTCGTGAGTCCTGCTTATTGCTTTCTATTTCAGGTGATTCACCTAAGTCGTCCATTCGCATGTGGCGGTTGTTGTTTCCCTTGCTGTCTACAGAGTATGGAGGTGACAGCACCCCCTGGTACCTTGATAGGCACCATTAAACAGGAATGGTCCTTCTGCAAGCCACTGTACACGATTAGGAACGTATACGACGAACCGATCTTGAGAATTAAAGGGCCTATATGCAAGTCAATTATTTGTGGCGATGTAGAATTTCATGTGGGTATCTTTTAGCGTTTAGGGAGTCAACACGCTTATCGATGCGGGATTGGCATTCTTGTCGTATTAAGCCGATTCGCCATCGACGCGGCCTTTCAGTCATCGACATCGACGCGGCTTTTCAGTCATCGACTCGCCCGTTTGGACATAAACGCGGCCGTTCGATCGTCGACGCAGACGCTCGGGCATCGGCGCACAGTGGGCCCAAATTGATAATTCTTGGACATAGGAATAACTTGTGGAGTGTCGAGCTAATTTTTTTTTAATATGATAGATAATAACAGTAAATTAAGTAGAAACTAGTACATTGTGTTAAAAAATAAATAACAAATCTAAAATTTTGACACCTTTTTACTCGTAAAGCCACAAGTACCTGCAGATGGATTTTTTTTCTGATAGAGAATGATTGTATCTATACTGTAAATAAACCACACACATTACATTTTCTTACATTAAGAGGTAAAAAATAAAATTTTTATAATATTTCTCCATACAAAAAAAATAATTATTTCTTAACTTTTCAAGAAATTATACAAGAATAAAAGTTGTTAGAAATGTTATTATCTATCACAAAAAAATTAGCTCGGTACTCCACAAGTTATTCCTATGTCCAAGAATTGTCAATTTGGGCCCACTGGTCCACGCGATTCAGATATCATCTTGAATCTAGACGTATCAAATGTGGCATTCACGCCTTCAGAGTCCTTCGGCTGGTGACGCTGCTGGTCAGCGGCTGCATACGGATGCAATCGGAAATTGGCAGGAAGCAAATTTGTTCATGAAAATAAAGTTTGACCGGCTTAATATGATTCTGTGTCGATAAGTGTGATGACACCCTAACGACACCCGTAATAAATAGCAGTAACCTATTGGGAATCAGACGTTACGTGTAATGTACTATATGATTATAATTAAAAGTACGTAGGCACTACGTGCGCTGCAACACGAGGTGGGGGAAGTTTCCGAATACAAATTCCATTTCTGGCTAAGTTGTTCATTGTCTGGAATAAGGCTACACGTGATTTGTAAAAGTTACTAATTTCTCAGCAATCTTTTCAGATATACAGAGACCGTGACATCTTAATCGGGAAAATATCAAGGCAATGGTCAGGTTTAACGCGTGAAATCTTTACGGATGCAAATTATTTTGGAATAAGTTTCCTTGTGGACTTGGATGAGAGGATGAAAGCAGTTTTACTTGGAGCTTTATTTCTGATTGTAAGTACCGTACAGAGTATGTATAATAGGTTGTATTTTATTAGGATAGCTGTTTAATTCACCATAGTTTCCGATTGACCGCGTATTTAATATAGACATGGTTATACATACAACCTACCAGGACTATAATAATATAATGGGGTAATTTTTAATTTTAGTACTATACTATACAAGGATAAAATATATATTATTATTATTTATAATATCAACAACGACGAACAAGTCGTGCGCTGATGGTAAGCTGTGTAGCCTGTCCATAACAGTTACAGTGCCACTCAGAGTTTTAAATCGTAAAGATCTGAGAGGCACCACCACTGCCCCTGTCACCCAGAGACATATAAGTTTACAAGTCCCATGTGCCTGTAATTTCATCAGCACCCTTACCATTCAAAACAGCAGAAACAGGTAAAGTGGCAGTACTTCCCTGGACGAACTCTTTCTCAAAGAGCTCTTCTGCTACTAAACCACGTATACTACAAAATTATTGTGAATATCAAAAATTTGAGGTAAGTCATATTAAATCAGAAGTATAAAAAATAAATGCAAAGCTATTTAAACAACACTAGGGATGTTCAATTAAAATTAATTTACATCTATGAAAATTGGTAAAAACAGTTAACTGTCGTTGAAAAGATACAAATCGAAGGTTTTTCAATTGTGTAGGTACTTTAGTAATTGTTATTTTATATATACATTGTATAGATTGCATTCCTTTAAATTTATTTTCGAAATTAAGTAACGTCTTAGCACTGACATTTAAATTTGAAATATTAAAGTACAGACTCGGCTTCTTTACGAAGCTATTATGTTATTGTGTAACTATATAATAAACACCTGAACAAGACTAATAACTTTGCCAATAATGTAATAGCTACCATCTTTTGACCTTGTCGAATATTATTACAATCGCATCGCGAGTTTATTTAAGCCGGGTTTTCACTCCCTATCACGCATTAACTGCATGCAGTCGAAACCGACTGGAAGCAGTTAATGCGTGAAGTCGTTATCAACTTCGTGCAGTCAATTAATTCCTGAAGTCGTTGTCAACTTCTCGGCTACATGGAGTTGATTACGATTTCACGCATTTAACTGCAAATATGCAGTCAATCTGTTAGCAGTGTAACTGGGTGCTTTGAATAATTTTATGCGTGAAGTGGAAGATAAAAACACGTTTAAAACCTCATATTGTCACGTCCATTCCACTTTTTTTTAGTTGGCGCCAAACGGGATAACCCTGAGCGGTAACAAACGAAAGCGCGCTAACGTATCTAAATACTAGTCCGATGCAAAACGCAGGGCGGGGGTGGGGACCGTTGGAAAGGACGCTTGTACGTTTAAACTTACTACGAATAAATACAGATCTAGAAAGTGTCTTGCTCCTTGCTCCCAATACGCCGTTGCAGTAGGCTGTTGCGATGCAATCAAAATTAATTCTCTCCATAAAATGCCTAAGTCCCTATTTCCTAACTTCTGTTATTCAGTACCTTAATACACATATTACCATTCTTTTTCAGGATTTTATGTACTTTGAGAAAGCTGGATGATTAAAATTACGAAGCTACACACACACAATGACTGTATACTAAATGAAAATAAACGATAGGCATTTATCTACCTGCTCTTTTTATTTTTCGCACAGACTAGGTACAAGTAGAGTACCTACACCGGAGTACAAACTTTTATAAGAAAGAATAGTTATTTGCTAGGCAAGACTGCAAAGTTGTTATTTGACGCGAGTCCGATTGAAATGAATGATTGATTGTTCTAAAATATTGCCCTCGTAACGATAAAAGGCACAACTATGCGTACTTTATACAGTAGTTGTGCCTTTTTTCGTTCTGAAGGCAGAATAGAATCCTGAGCGTACCGAGGGTTTCGAGACACGAGACGCTAAACAACTTTGCTGTCGAGCGAAACACACAACTTTTCGCCTCACTATATCAAGGAAAATGAACGACAAATAGCGTAGTTGAACGTGTTATTATGTTTTTTTTGTCATCGAAAGAACAATCCATCGTCAAGTTCGAATTTCCAAAACCTTTTCCACGCTTTTGCGCGCAGATTTCTTATGAGAAAGAAAGCCTTTCCAAGTTAGTGAGGTGAAAAAAATGTTTCAAGCATATCACATAAATAGGATTTATTTTCCTCAGACAAGACCCTCCAATATAAAATTAAAGTTATAAAGATTCACAAGAGTTTTTTAGGCTTGTTAAATGCGCACTTTTGGGTACAAACGGACACATCAGCTTGGTGCATAGACAGATCAGCAAAACTGTCTTCCTGATGATGTTTCAGGGGTTTTTTAAGAGACCCTTCTCTATGATCATGTTTGATCACTGTAGCTCTTGGGATGGAAGAAACCAGTTGCTTTGCCCATTGATTTTGCGGTAATTTGCCTTCATCAGGAATGTCAATCTGAAAATACAGGTTTTCTAATTCATAAAGAATGTTACAAATGAAAAACTTAGCTCTACAAAAAACTCAGGATTGATTGTCTGCGTGTGTGTCCATGGCACCCGCGATTAGAGGTGGGCGTTTAAACGAAAAGCACTTCAAGTTTGCTTTTTAAAATAAGCACGCTTTTCAATTTAACTTTTAAATTTCAACGTGCTCATGTTTCAAGTCCCGCCATCTATGTTTCCTAAACAAGTTAATTCATCAATGTAAATAATAATTTTGTAAACAAAAATAAAACTCGTGTTTTACAAATAAACTTACTTTTCTTAAAAACTTTGGTGGTCTGCTCTTGCTTTTTGCTAACAACACAACATTGCAAGCTTTTTTAACATAAAAAATCTATGCATTTAAACGTTTTTCTAAACGATTTTGTAAACTTCAAACTAAATGAGTTCAGAAAAGCGCATTTTAATGTTTAAAAAAATAAGCAGTTTCTCCCATTTATACCCGCAATACATGGTTTCCCTAGTGCGGGGCTATATGCTACGAGTGTGTGCGTTATTATTATTATGATTATTTACTTATGAAACAAAAAGAAATTGGACAGAACCAAGTCAACGCTTATACTTACTAGAATTAGTAATTAATATTTACACAAAGTATATTTCTGAGAAAATAGTGTATATTGATAACCTATGTATAGGTACATACCATTTTAGTCTCCTTTGCAGCTTTATATGCAAATGATGGTAGTTTAACGTTCTCTTTATTATTAGCTTTCAAAACACTTTTAATAGGTTTGGGAATAGATGAAGTTGCAACCAGTGGTTTCTTAGGCCTGACATCTTTCACAAGAGGAACAACTGGGCATTTGTTTATATATGTCGCAACTGGACTAACAACATGTTGAAATGATCTTTTTGTAGAAGGTGTCTGAAATTTCTTTTGGGATACAGGAATTCCTGGTGTTTTAAATAAGGAAACATGATTTTTTTCATGTGAAGGTGTGTAATAAATTTCGGACGTAGTCTTTTGTTTAGTTGGGGTAAGAAAATCGGTCTTGGCAGCATTTGCTTCAGGTGCTAATAAATTTGTAGCATCAGATCGTTTATATGGACTTTCATTGTT